TTATTATCTATAATTATTTTTTTAATATTTTTGTATTTTAAAAAAGTAAATCAGAGCTGAATAAATACAAAAATGCAAGCAAATTTGCCTATATTGGCTTACAATCTAAGGGATAGCTTATATTTTTTTCGATTTATTATTATAATTTTCTTAAATAAATTTGAGCTTCTAGAAGTTGTCTAGTTTTAGGTAGATATATATGTTTTATGTTTATAAAACACATGTTTGTTTACTCCTAACTCTACATGATATATATTGTATAATCTAAAAGATCTGTAATATTAGAAGTTAACAGATTCTTACTTTTTGTTATTTAGAAATTTTTTCAAGAAATTTTAATCAAAAACTTTAGTAGTTTTTATTATTTTTCTTGAAATTTTTTTTTGAAAGAATATAAAAAAATACTCTAGTTTTCATATTAATACTTGTTTAGCTATTGATATACTAGTTTTTGACAAAGCTATAATACTATTATATTTTTAGTTTTTATTTATTTTTAGAAATTAGGATCTACAAAAAGAATTTAATCTTTTGTTCTATATATATAATTATACTATATAAATATATTAAATTTTATAATTGTTAAGTTTTAAAATAAAGATAGAATTAAAGTTAGAATTAGAAATTAGAATTTAGATTAAAATTAGAATTAAGAAATTAGAGTTAGAATTAGAAGTTAGAATTAAGGTTAGAGTTAGAATAAGGATTAGAGTTAGAGTTAGAGTTAGAATTAAAGTTAGAGTTAGAGTTAAAGTATAATAGATTTTAGTAAAAATACTAAAGCAAAGATAACAGCTATAGTGAAAGTATATACTTAATTTTTATAATTTTACAAACTAAAAAAATTATTAAAAATATTTAATAATTAATATGTTTTTAATTTAAATCTTAATCTAAATTTATTAATTAATATTTTTTTAATTTAGATCTTAATTTTTAACTAAAAAAATTATATAAAAACTAATATTTTAATTTTAGGAATTTAAAAACTAAAAAAAATAAAAAAAACTAATTAATAACTAACTCTAACCCTAACTCTAAACCTATTTCTAAAAAAACTAATATTTTATTTAAACTTTGAATTTAAACAATTTAAAAACTAAAAAAAATAATAATATTTGTAAGTTTTTAAAAAAGAAACGATTAATCGTCTTTCAAATTGATATATAGGATGTTTTACCGAATAATTCCATGTTATCTAAAAAATTATACTAATATTTATGAATTCTAAAACCTAATTAATTTTTTATTGATGTAATTGCCTTTTTAGTAACAATTATATAATATCGAAGTTATCGTTTTATGTAGAAGAATACTTTGCTTTTATCTGAATATTTTTTTAATACATACTGTATTCTTTATCTTTCTTTGTTTAGGCTCTTTCTTTATGAGCGAATGGCCGAATAGGCATTGTAAAACTGACTTCTTATGTTTACCAATCTCATGCATTGCAAGAGTTTATACAGTATAAACTTTCATTACCCCTGAACTCTTGAATTTAACACAACTATCGGCCGTTTACATTCCACAAATAATTTTGTAAAATAACGATAATATAAAAATCCATGGTTAACTTTTTGTTTAACGTTTTTCTTTTTTATTCATAGTATCGATTTTGGCAACTTCAATTATGGCATACCAAAGTTTCAAATGTCATTGATTAGTTATTCCTTTTTCGATGTTAAGAAGTTTGCTTCATTGTTTATTGTCCACTTTGTATATCGTTTGTGAAAATAATCAATTATTTGCCAAAAAGGCAATTTCAAAGTAAATTTTTTTTTTGTTTAGATATAGCTTGTATATGATTTTTATTGGAATCATTGGAATAATAAATAATGGAGAGTACAGCTTATATTAGCCCGGCTGGCGTAATCGGATAACGCACCAGACTTCTAAGTTGTTGATATCTGGGGATTGCGGGTTCGAGTCCCGCGTCGGGTATAAGCCTTCATTTTTGCATTGATTGGTTGCCCCGTTTTACAAAATTCTAATGTTTTTTTTATTATTTTTATTAATAATAATAATAATAAACAATTCTGCTTTTCTGTGTTGATTTTAACTAAGCAAAATGAGTGGTAGTTCGACACATCCTACCGAGAACGCAGGGCTGCCTGTCCAAGAACCTCCTCTTTCGCCAGGTCACGCTGCTGACCTAAAGACTATCCAAGTCTTAACAGAAGAAGCCACCAAAGACTTCATTTTACAAGATTATGAAAGTGCTGTTACCAAATTTTCAGATGCTTCTGAAATAATGTAGGTGTCAACGCGTATAATAAATTCCAATATGCGTCAAACGCGTAAAAGGAATAGATTATACCTATTTTCACGTCTCTGGTCACTCCTTGCTTTTTTATATGATAATTTTTTTTATAGTTTGTGTTTCGTTTACACTTCTCAGTGGCCAATATTATGGTGTTGATTCGGAAGAGTATGCTGAAGCCCTATACAAGTATGGTCATGCTCTCCTTGAAAACTCTCGAACTCAAAATGCTGTTCTTGGACATCAAGCAATTCCACAAACTTCCGCGACAGATATTCCAATAGGTAAAAAAAATATATATATGACTTTTTACTTATTAATTTTATTATGTTTTAACTTAAATATGTATTATTTAAAGATGATCTTCAGGTCAATACTTCACGTTTTCATTTTGAAGGAGATGATGAAAGCGATGGTAGTAAAACTGAAAATGGTGATAATGTCGATTTTCAAGCTGACGATGCGAATGCATCTGAAATATTAGAAGAACAGGGAGACGATCTTAGTCTTGCGTGGGAAATATTAGAATATTCTCGTGATATATTTTCTCAAATTAATACAGAATTTGCAAAGAGATCTCTTGGTGAAGTTTATATTAAATTGGGCGATGTTTCTCTTGAAAATGGTAAAATTGTCCCTTTATTTGTCACTTAATATACTGTGACAACGTCTTATATTCATTGAATTATTAAATCTATTAACTCGACGTAAGCGAAATTTTTAATAAATCTATTGGATTTTTTAAAAAACATTGTTTTAACGCTGAGTTAATATATTTAAATTTGGATATATATATATATTTCTCTTTAAGCAATAACTTAATGCATTTTATATATGTTTATAGAAAAGTTTGATCAAGCAGCGATTGATTATAGAGAAGGTGTCAAGCTAAAAACAGAGACGCTTGCTGAGGGCGATAGGCAAATAGCAGAGGCATATCCTTTATTAGCACATATTTTTATATCAAAAATTTAATCTATTTACTTCTATCATTAAAGTAAATCTTAACTCTTTATAATACTCATTGGAGATTGTCTTTGGCACTTGAATTAACTCCAGATAAATCCAATCAAGACGAGGCCATTATACATGTACAAAAGGCTATAGAAGTATTAAATAAGCGCAAGGAAATTCTGCAGTCACGGTTGAATGACTACCAGGAAACGTGTGGTAAAGGAAAAAAAATAGCTACAGCCGATGATGATACTGTACTAATTGACAAAGAAATAAAGGATATTGATGAATTTCTTGTGGACATGGAATCCAAAGTATATGTTATTAATTGGTTGTTACTGTTTGCCCCCGAATTTTTCTAAAAATTTAATATTTATAAAGATCGCAGATATTCAGGCAATAAAACTTTCTCAGGAACAAACAACTCCGAGACCCAGCGATATTGCGCTTGAGGAATACGTGAAACTACTTTCTTCATGCGAATCTTCCTCTGGCGCTATAGATACATCGTCAACGACTCCCGTGAACGATGTAACATCACTTATCAAAAGAAAGACGGTTAATATTGATAATATGACCGATTCTTCCAAAAACAACACAACAACTGATACACCGATACAAGAAGAAAAGAAACGAAGAGCAGAATCGAAGACTGATATAGATGAATATGAAGGAGAGAATGAATTGAGTCCGAATAAGAAAGTCAAACAGGCGCTTTAATAGAGCTCTGAACCGGAACAAAATTTATCATATGATTTTTGAATCGCAGTTATTATAAAAAAATGTAGCTGATGTTACACGTTTTCATATATAAATTACATCGCTTGCGTATTATATATGTGAAAACGTTTGTTGCGCAACATGATGGTTACATAATGATCTGTCAGTTTCACAAAAATTCGGAAGTCATAATTTTATATACCATAATAAATAACATACTATATAACTAATTCTGCCGAATTTTGTTTAACAATTTCCTAGTGACGAAGTTGTTATAACACTGTTATAACCGCATCCAGTAAATTACGATTTCCATCCCGTATTAAAAAGGCCCATTTTTACATTTAAACAATTTTGAGTAATGTATATCGATATCATATAGTATTCCCGATTTTCTTGCGGGCCTTTTATTATGTTAACAGTTCTCGTGACTTATAGTAAATACTATCGCTATCTATTAAAAAATAAATTTTGAAAAATTGTAAAAGTGGGCCCTTTTAATACGGGACACTCCATATACCCTATCGTTATGTAACAGGGGTGACCGTCCCGAGTATGCCCCGAGTTTGTAGATCGTTACACAAACGATTCAATTGATTCGGAATTTTTT